CTCTTTTCATTCTGATCATTTATGTATACATTTGTCTATATCTATCTCGATTCGTTTTGCCTGTTACAAACAACCGTTATGTGAACAAAGTTATAATACCCTTGTGCACAAGTGCGCTCGGGTATAAAAAGGTTACAACGGAATTAATTGTAGCTTTTTTGTCAACAAATTTACAACAAAAAATCTATAATTAATGCCGTTATAACATTTTCAATATCTCAATTCTATCGACTAGGTGTACGGTGTCAAGTTAGCACTGCATAACCTTTTTTCTTAAAAAACGAAAGCTGCAATTTTTTTTTCTTTCCACAACAAATTTACAACAAAAACACTACAATTAATGCCGTAGTTAACTTTTCCAATTTCGAAAAGTGTAGTGCTAACTAGACACACTAAGATATCGAGACTAGGTGGATCGGAAACTCGGCCTTTCCGACTACCTAGAGTACATTAAAAACCTTAGATACTAAAAAATAAATGAGCGGATTGGAAACTAGGCCTTTCCAACCGTCACGAAAGCGCGACTGTGTGGATCGGAAACTAAGCCATTTGGACCACCCAGGAGATATCAAGATATGGAGTAGCCCAAAAACCTCCAGGCAATGGCATGCATTGCCGACAAAAATGCAAGGCGGATCCGAATACCTTATATTATGAAAAACTTGTAGTCCTTTTGCCACATGCCATTCTTAACCGTTGGAAGGCTTAGAAAATAAGTTGTGGGTTAAGTTTTCAATTTTAATTATCCTAATTTATTTATTAAAACAATTCCTATTACAAGAAATGTATCTCTTCTCGGCCCGCGTATAATCGAAAGAGGAAGATTCAAGAGAAAGTCAAAAAATATCGAAGCTGTGTTTCTTCATCAACAGGGTTGCATCTTCAGGTATTGGTTGCATACTTCCTTGGAGCTGTGTTCCTTCAGTGTGAGCAACATGTGGGATGCTATAAGGTTCTGTGACAGATGTTGGACGCCACAAAGTTATCGAAATAAGCCATCGTCGAAAAAAACAAAAACGGTGCATTGTTAAAAAATGGAATACAATTTTTT